TTTATCAAATTTTGGATTTGTTATTATTTTCTTTAAATTCTTTCTACTTTATTTTGCATCATTTGTAAGAGCCTGCTTAGAATTGGGTGGCATATAAAACACTCAAGTAATAAGTAAATAAATATAATAAGATCATACTATTAGGAATGTAAAAATGTTCAATAAAATTCAAGGTAGGACTCGATTTTATAATTTTAGGGCATACATTTATTTCCTTTCCAAATATTAAGAAACCTTAAAGAACATCAGCCTTTATATCATCCTTCGAAATATCTAATTACGTTCAGAGAGAAGCCTTGCTGGCTATGCTGTGGCTTTTGAAATGATGTATTGTCAACATGTCCACAGTGGCAGTGTTCAGGTATCTTTCTTCTGCTGGGACTGATCCATTTAGCGTTATCAAACTCCACCTTTTTAGATGAGCCGTCTCCAGCCATAGACTTCTTAACATTTAGTTTTCAATTATTTTTGAATTATTCTGGATGGCAATTCTGCATTTTGATAGATTTGAATAAAGTTTTGGAATTTTGATGAAAAGTAGTATGATATACTTTTATGTATTATTTGAAATCCTTCTTTGAAATTTCAATAGTGATCAGGAAAAGATGGAAAGAATATGTGCTTTCTTATTCTTTCCTTCTTGCATAGTCACCTGAGCAATTGGTATATATCGCCAACAGAAGAAATGTAAATATAAAAGACTGTTTGGCATCAGATTTTATTATGTCATTTCAAAACATTTTGCAGATTTGGACCTGATTTTTTATAACATATGTTGAAGGTCTTTTTAATCATAGCATAGTTCATCAGTTAGGTTAATAAAAGTAGGTGAAGAATGATGTATATGGAATTGTCTGTTCAAGACACATAAAAGTGTTATATCCCATGTGGGATGATTTGGAATCTGAACTCAACAAATCAGCTTGGAATTCTTAATACAACAAAATTTCCTCCAATCCTTCTTTTGGGAAGTCATCAAGAATTTATGAAAAAGGCATTTAATAGATGATATTTCACTCTTCTAAAATTACTAGAGCAGTCAAATGCTTCCTAGATTGTGCTGAAAGAGCTAAAGTCAGATCCCTACATATTAACATCCCAAGTGGTACTGCTCATTATTTATTTATTTGGGCAAAGAAATTTAGAAAATTACTTCACAACTGTTGGCAGTTAATACTACTTTCCATGTATTGCTTGTATGGTATGCAGCAAAATAAATTAATCCATTTTTCTCTGTTAGCATAACTTTTTTTTGAACCGTTTAGAAACCCTTTGATTTTATATATAAAAATTAATCAAACTATACTATGTAAAATTAAAACGGAATAAAATTAATGTAACAAAAATAAGTATGTAAAACAGTAAAGACAAAATAGAACGATATTCAGTAGGAGTCACAAGACACCTCTTTATTTCCCTTGTATTTATTCTAATATAGATAAATAAGAGAGAGGGGGCATTAGAACAGTGCCTTAGAATCCCATCTGGGATTATTTTGATGAAAAAAATGGGAAAAACATCTATACCAATGTATGAAATTTAAGAATCTAACTGTGCACTATTGAAAAATTAGCATAGAAATAAAGAATGTTAAAGAACTCTTCATCTAATTATTAACTGATTTACATTTGCTTTCTGTTTTTCAATTATATTAACAAAAAGTTTCCTAATCATCTTTATTGTACAATAAGTTCAATATTTAATATCAGTTTTTTTTAAAAAAAATTGCATTTTTCTTTAAATTTGTAATCTATTTATTTAAGCACACTTACTATATCTGGCTGTCCATCTACCAAAAGGAAGCCTTGAGATGTAAGTGGGGTATATATCAATATATGTACAAACACATATGTTTGTATCAGTATTATCAAAGAGTGGGGGTTCCCCTCTTATTATTTTTATCATTATTTCTTACTGATGTTTGTCTCTTGTATTGAAAAAAGATAAAGAAAAAAATAGCATAGGATTCGGCCCCTAGGAATCATGATTAATCTTTTAGCTGGACCTACTTATAGGTCTTTCATGAAAGAAAACTTATCAAGGAAATGGTTTTTAAAACACAAGGATGTTTGGCCAAGAAGTTGGTAAAAGTATAAAGTAGATGCGGCAGAGTGTACTTTTATGATTGATTTCCATTTAAGTCAGACTGACTGCAGTGTGGTCATTTTTCTAACCCATCACTGTTCTTACTGCAGCAGTTTGCTATCTGCAGGGTGTCTGAATTATAGCAGTCCATGTCTCTGTTACCTTTTACACAAATTACTTACACTGGTTTCTTTTTCCATGCATATGTATCAGTTTTACAGCCCCTTGTCTCCATGTCGGGAAATTTTAGCAGACAGCACAAATTGATAAAAGGAGTTAATTTTATAATGTCCCTTTTATTCTTAACTTCATTCACATATTGTACAGGAAACATAGTGTAATTAGATGGTAAATAAATTTATTTTCCAAGTTAATTCCTTTTAAAGATCACAGTAGACTAATTCCCATTTTAATAACATTCTTTTTTCTTCTTCTGTGCTCTTAAAATGCATTGTATCAGAGCACATGAATTCAATAGTATTCTGTGGTAGACATCAGGGAACAGCATAAGGATTGTATTCTTAGTGCAACCTGTTTTTGTATGCTTTAGCCAGAACCTATCTATTACTTCATGTATTGTAATTTAGAGCAAGAACCATCCTTTGCATGTCCAAAGTCCCAATTTCATTCCATGGCAGATTGTGATAACCTGTTTTGTAGCCAAGGAGCACAGTGATAAAAATAGTTATGTCATAACCAGTAGAGCAGTGGTGGCCAACCTATGGCATGGGTGCCAGAGGCGGCACTCAGAGGCCTCTTTGTGGGCATGCGCGCTGTCGCCCCAGTCCTAGGCCTTCAGCTGGGTTTTATAAAACCTTTTCGCTTTAGGCCTCCGCCTCCGTGTGCAAAAAAAAAAAATAAGGTTCAATCAGTCAATTTCAACTTCTCGCGGGAAAAAAAAATCTTGCAAAGTTGGAACTGATTGATTGAACTTTTTAGTCCCACCCAGTCTGCCGTTACCACTGCAGCCACGCCCACCCAGTGGGACACACCTACCCAATGGGCCACACCCACCCAATGGGCCACATCTACCCGGCACTCGACGATGCATAAGTGGGTTTTGGGTTGCAGTTTGGGCACTCAGTCTCTAAAAGGTTCGCCATCACTGCAGTAGAGTGTGTGTTGTAGTAATAAATATTGCTTGGGCAAAAAAAAGTGTGTGTGTGACAAGACACAGGCAATCTGCAGATGGCCATTCCTACAGTGGAGAACCTAGGTCAGAGTAGGTCAAACTGAATCAGAAGAGCTGTGTTTACCTCTGAGTTAGCTGTTGAGAAGCCTTTTGAAGTAAAAGGAAATACAGTGTGGTACTACATTATATGGGCATGCTGTAGGAAATTCTTAAACGAGTTTTGTATTATCTGATTGTGATGTATATCTAAGTTTGAATTTTTGGGCAGTTACTCTTTAGCACTCTCTCTTCCTAAGTAAAATCTTATTTTCTTCAAGTTCTCAAGAGGGTTTGAGCCTGTGACACTCTGCTGAGGCCATGCCAGTTTCATTTCTCATTTTCTTCCACCAGAATGAAAAGAGATTTTAATGCATATTATCTCTGCATTTCAGCTGTAAAAGCCATTGTTGCAGAAGCTCATCTTAATATAGTGGCTACTGTTATCTGGTTTTCATCAATTGGTTTTATTCAATGATTTTCTTATTTGTCAAATGTTAAACTATTAATTATTCTTAGTATTGTTAGGTGCATAGTGCATCATTTTTCAGGGACTGTATGACTAGGAGTAGATCTGGAGCAAACTCCATAGTTCTTGCAGTAGAGCTGATACCTTTGCTTTTCCTATATCAGGATTCATTAGAGCAGGGGTGTCAAACTGCCGGCCCGTGGGCCGGTTTCATCATACCGGAGCCGCGCCCACCCCATTGCTGGCAATGGCAAAAAAGCTCCGGTACATCGCGCGATGTCACGTGACGTTGCAAGTTTGACATGTCTGCATTAGAGTGATAGCTGCGTTATTGGTTGTTGTAATTTAATGATACTTGCATATTGCTATTTTTGTGAAGAATTGTTCATATGTAATGTCAAAGGATGGTTTGACTTAGACACCACGTGTTAAAGGTCTTAACGAAGTAAGTAATTTCCTACACATCGACATTTTGGAATTAATGTCAACTTTCACATTGAAGTAAACGTAGGTAACTACTGCTTATCATACACTAAATTATGGAGATTTATATATAAAGTTCACTACTTATACTTAAACACTTATTCGTGATAATACACGGATACTAACTTATTCCAGTTTTGCGCAGTGTTCTTATTTGCAAAAGTTGAAGCTCCATTGCAATATACCTATATACTAATTCTTGAAAAAAATACAGTTTCCTTATAAGAGGTAAGAGTAGGCTTTATATTCTTATCAAAAACAGTGTTAACTGCATGCATATGTATCAGACAATGTAACGTTAACTGGAAAGATCTTCAGTGACATCGTATGTGAATATCAAATCCATATTATTGACAGAAATAGATTCATGGCTTCTTTTACTCTGCAGAAGGAGGAGTTGATAACATTTTTGTAAATATATAAATAAACAACTTTGTTGCATGCATGTAAGGTGAAAAGAAACTATAGCAGCTTACAAGTATAACCATTTTACAGAACAATAAGTAGTTGGCTTTGCAAAGTTACCCAATGTATGTCATGAGGAAACTTTTTCAGAAGTAGCAATGCTCATATAGTATTAACAGAGGAGGAGGGTATTCAAATATATTAGTAAAAGTTAGACTTCCCTTTTAGAAAAAAATATTTTCAAAGAAAAGATTAAATGAAAAATGCTTAATGCTATAGTGCCAGCTATCTCATATCTTTCGATTTATACGCTGGGTAAAGTCATAAAAGTGAAGGAGATAATTTTTCACATGACTTCCTGATTTTTTTTTTTCCTCTTTTTTCCCTCAGCACCAATAGCTGCAGGAACAGGCCCTAATTTCTCTCTCTCAGATTTGGAAAGTTCCTCGTATTACAGTATGAGTCCAGGAGCAATGAGGAGATCTTTACCAAGCACCTCTTCTACCAGGTAATTTCTGTATAGTATGTTTGTTGAGTTAAAAGGTTGTGACATGATAAGTGTTTGGGGCAATCAAATATGGATAGAAATTGAAAGCTACTTACAGGTATATAGAGTCTTATCACAAAAGAAATCCCAGCAAAGGAAATGACTTTATTTCTATAGGGAACATCAGTGGAACAACCTGCCTCCAGAAGTTGTGAATGCTCCAACACTGGAAGTTTTTAAGAAGACACTGGACACAACCATTTGTCTGAAATGGTATAGGGTTTCCTGCCTGAGTAGGGGTTGGACTAGAAGACCTCCAATGTCCCTTCTTTGCACATCTAATCCATGAATGTTGCATTTGGGGAGCAATTGTTTCAAGTGGCAAGTTATGTACAATCGTCTTTAGAAAAATAAGTACCAGTAGTCATTCCTGTCAAACTCAACAACTATGGCATTCAGTTACTTTTAACCAGCCCTCTGTGCACTAACATCTTATGATATGTTCTTCTTTATGCCTATTATAAAGAGGCCAGGTCTCTCTCTCTCTCTCTCTCTTGGCCCAGCATACCTCACTAAAGTGAAAATAGGAAGAGAGTGCTATGTATACTGCCTTGAACTCCTGAATAAAGGACTGGATGTTAACCTAACAAATGAATAGAGTATTTTTATTTGTTCTTTCAAGAGTTACATCATAATATAGGTACTCCTCGACTTATAACAATTCATTTAGTAACTGTTTGAAGTTAAAACAGCACTGAAAAAAGTAACTCATAATGGTCCTCACATTATAACCGTTGCAACATCAACATGCTCCCATGATTAAAATTCAGGTGCTTGGCAACCAATTTGTTTTTAAATGGACCTTTTTTTCTCATGAAGAATTGAGTTTTTGGGGAAACTTAATTTTAAGAATTGGAAAAAATATGGTGATATGGAAAAATTAAATGGAAGCAAGGATATTGACTTTGGATCAAATGATAGATGATTATAAATTCCGAACATACTCTACATTAAGAGACTAAGATCATCTACCTTCTACCATATGTAACCTAATAGCCATATTTACAGTTACAACATTTGTTAACAACATTGGTTGGGCCAGCAGTGTTTTCAGTTTCTGAGACATCTGAGATATTAGAACAACTTGTTAAACCCTTTAAAAATATACACTACCAAATTAAGATATAAGAGGAAACCTTGGTTTTCTCTTTTCTCTATTAACTTTCATAAGTGTGCGAGGATTCTATTCCCCTCTATAATGTCCTAATTCAGTAAACTGCAAGACCATGAAGAAGAAATCAAATCATTGCAGCAGGTTAAGGGAAATAGAGAAGTAACATCTTCATTTCTTATATGTTTAACTGAGAGTAAAAAAAGAGAAAAAGAAACCTTGGGAAAGAAATGCTCATGGTCAGATCTTTGCCAGATCATTTACATAGCAAGAAATCATGCTTCCTATTTACATTTCTGTGCCATATGCATAAGACATATTTAAATTGCTAGGACTGTGATATTGCTGAGAAAAATCATGTAAGTTTGAACAACTGTTGTTTAAAAATCAGCTCAGAAATAAAGAAATAATAAAATTACCATCTTAACTCCTTTTGCTGCATTTGGTTGCTTCACAACTAACATAAGAGTTCCTTTATATGTGTTTAGCAAAAGAAGAAAGTCTTATGGAAGTAACATGTAAAGTTGTCCTACAAATTGTTATGTATAGAATTTTAAAATATAGTTAATCCTACAATACAGGTTGTCCTCAACTTACAACAGTTCATTTAGTGACAGTTCAAAGTTACAACATTACTGAAAAAAGTGACTTATGACCATTTTTCACACTTATAACCATTGCAGCATCCCCATGGTCATGTGATCAAAATTCTCTCAGTTGGCAACTAAATCATATTTATGATGGTGGCAGTGTCAGAGGATCATGTGATCACCTTTTGCAACACTATGACAAGCAAAATCAATAGGAAAGCCAAATTGACTTAACAACCACATTCCTAACTTAACAACTTGCAGTGATTCATTTAACAACTGTGGCAAAAAACTTTGTAAAATGGGGCAAAACTCACTTAACAAATGTCTTGCTTAACCAACATAACTTTTGGGCTCATTTGTGGTCGTAAGTCAAGAACTACCTGTATAAGCCATCCCTGGCTATTAGTTTGTGATAACTCATTTATAATCAGGGCCTTTCCCCCAATCAAAAGAAAAAGAAAAAAAAACTTAATATTAATATGTATCAGTAAACAGTACATCCATTTTTAGGGTTTCACTTTTTTATGAGAGTCCCGAGTACTGCGGATATAGTTCTCATTAATTAAACTTAGTCTCAGACTGTTTGCTTCCACTCCAAGATTGTTAAAATAGACATGTTATCAGTGATACTTAAAGCACAACTCTCATTCTTATCTGCTTCTACAAATACCTGATAGCAGATAAGAAGCTAAGTAAAATAGCATCAGTAATGAATAGCTGCACAGTAGGTTTGCTGTTTCCTCATATTGCATTTGTAAGTCAAAAAAATTCTTAAATTATTCATTTCTAAATGTATTTACTTGGAAGTATGTTTATATTGATTTCAGTACATTTACTTCAAAGTACATTTTAGGATTGTTGCCTAGCAAAATGATTGAGGCAATGATTGTATGGTAAGAACAATCTGTTGTTGACATTTGCATTTCCTCATAAACGTAGGCATCAGAAGGGTTTTTTTTTTAGCATTCCTCAGTTATGGCAGGACTCTTGTTACAATTATTTTAAAAATAAATGACTAACCATTCATGAGATCAACTGAAATATAAGAGCAGCTGAGGTCATACAACTAAATATGCCCATTTATATTTATGCCAGCAATACCATATCTGTGTACACCTGCCTTTGTGTAAAACTGAAAGACTTATGAAACAGGGAACACATTGAGGGAAGCATAGTTGTTCCTCTCCTTAAGTATTAGAAAGAGAAGAAAGTATCACCTCAAATTTCAAAGAACAAAATTTTAAGAACTATGAGTTACCTCAGCAAAGTCTTAGAAGCGATGGACAATGGCAGTAGATTATTACTTTTAATAGAAGTTCAATGGAAAAAAAATGTCTCTGGGATCACATAGAAGCCAAAAATTTAGGCTTTCAAGTGTTTGCTTTATTTTTACACAGAAATATGCAAAGCTGACAGTAGATTTTCTGATCTTGTCATGGAAAATACATTCACTAAGTATTAGTACCACTTTATAAAATCCTAGTAAGACCACACCTGGAATACTGCAACCAATTCTGGTCACCATAACACAAAAAAGATGTTGAGAGTTTGGAAAAAAATCAGAGAAGAGCAACTAAGATGATCAAAGGCCTGGAGACTAAAACATGCAAAGAACAGCTACGGGACTTGGGTTTGGCTAGTCTAAAGAAAAGAAGAAATAGGGGAGGCATGATAGCAGTGTTCCAGTATTTGAGGGCTGCCACCAAGAAGAGGGGGTCATGTTATTCACCAAAACACCAGAGGGCAGTTAGAAACTGATCAAAGAGAGAATCAATCTGGAATTAAGGAGAAACTTCCTGACAGTGAGGACAATCAACCAGTGGAACAGCTTACTCCCAGAAATCATGGGCACTCCATCACTGGAGATATTTAAGAAGAGACTAGACATTGACCTGTCTGAGATGGTATAGGTTCTCCTGGTTGAGCAGGGGGTGGACTAGAAGACCTCCAAGATCCCTTCCTACTCTACTCTATTCTATTCTAACTCTAGTTCTGAAACCCAAGGATTCCTACTTCTGCAACTCTTCACATTATTTTGTCAGAATTTAAGTCAACTGCTGTGATGGTTATATTACAGGAAGACGAGAATGTAAATGGCAAGAAGGGAATAATAATCTTTCTGTCCTTCTCTGAACTGTACAAATTAAAAATTCTTTTGGCTTGAAGGCCTAAATTTGGGGTTTGTAATCTAAAGAAACCAAACCTTACTTTCTTTGTCTAGTTACCTTATCAATAATTTTGCTTCATTTCTAGGAGTCCTAATGGATTTGGTCTTTCAATATTTTGTCCATTTCCTAAAATGTTTACTTTGCTTATCTAAGTATAAGTGTTCACACAGTTATATTCATTCATTTGTAAAGAACATGACTACATTAAATTAAATAGAAAATGTCATTTGTAAACTACGCAGATAGCAAGCAAAGCATAAATTTTTGTAGCTTATACTTCAAGAACAATACCAAAGATGAAATTATCTACATGTATAAGGAAAACCCCAAATCTATAAAAATAGAAAATAAGAAGTACAATAAACCCTTGACAAAACAGTGTAATACAGAAGAAGGAGTATCTTTGAGATTCATATGTTCATCAAATGGTAAATAGGCTGTTACACAGGTATAAATGGGATATTACAAGTGTCTAAAACAACATGTAAAATGGTGAGTGGGTTTAATCCACTGCATCTGAAGCATGCCACTGAGGTCCAATAACTTGAGGATGAGTGTAAGCAAAAATATTTTAAGAAAGCAAAAAACAATATTAGGATAATCCAATGCTCAATGATCATGAATAGAAAAACTGAAAATGTGATTATCTTCTTAGCAACCAAAATTCTGGTCCCAATTGTGGCTGTAAGCCAAAGACTACCTGTACAGTATAAACAAATATAGCCAGGAGCAATATCTCCCAAATCTTACTTTTTTTCCTCTTGACATATACATGGTATTATACCACATGGCTATAAAAATGATGCTAATTTGCTTCAAGGAATATAATAACCCAGAGGAATCTATTATAAAAAATAAATCTACCTCATCCTGCACCTCTGAATTCTTTAAAAACAGAGGCGCATATAATGCAGGGTGTTGTTTGGAATGGTCCAACCAGTATCTAAGGATAGCTTCTTAAGAAATGGAAATAAGCCACACGGCAAGCTTTAAGACAATTTCATTTGCTATCTGGAAATGCAATAAAGTGGGTTTCAGACAATTCTCCAAACATATGGAGACTCTCAACAGAAGAATCGCTCCTGAACCAATTACTGTTTCCCTGTACAGTAAAGAGAAATTCTAGATGCATATATTGTTATATGCATATGTAGCATACAGTTCTTTTCTCATATGATTTGTGGATGAACAGCAGGGGTGTGGCTGCTTAGCCACTAGCAGTGATGGCCCCATGTAGCTGTGTATCTAACTCAGTCTTATTGTGTATCTAACTCAGTCTTAAAATGTATGAGGTATATATCTGAATCCCCGACACCTATTACAGATATAACTGAAACCAGCACACCTTACACATGGATCCCTCACATGAAATCACATCCTCTTTATTCTTGTCTTTTCTCCAATAAAGGAGAATATTTGTAGCTCAGGGTTGACATGAGGGGTCCTTGGAGCTCTCTGAGCTTGCTTGTTTTCTTGCAGACGTTTCATTACCCAAACTAGTGATGATGTTATCTAGTTTGAGTAATGAAACGTCTGCAAGAAAGCTCAGAGAGCACCAAGGACCCCTCTCCTTTCTCTTTTCAAAAATGGGTTTCTTTTGGCCAAAACTAAAAGAGAAGTGCAATCTGTGTTTTTTTTTCAGAGAAACTACCTGCCTATAACCATCATAACTCAATTTTCTTCAAGAAAATGCTCATGGAAAGCAAAACCTTGTTTTCCACTGTAGGGCATGATGTCAGGGTGGTTAAAAGAGCCAGAAGGTTAACAGGGAAAAGAAGGTGTAATAGTTACATCACCTATAGATAAGAACTTGCCATTTGTCCTGGAATGTAACCCTGCAAGATAATCCGATATTTTATTTATCTCCCTTCAGGCTGTGCATTAATGCATATATGCTTCAATTCTAGTTCCACAAAGCGTCTCAAATCTGTAGAGGATGAAATGGACAGTCCTGGTGAAGAACCATTCTATACAAGCCAAGGGCGGTCTCCAGGAAGTGGAAGTCAATCAAGTGGATGGCATGAAGTGGAACCAGGTAAATAAAGTCATGCATGTGGCTTTGGAGGAAGGGGGAGTTTTTAGCATTCCTGACTTCCATTTACTTATTCTGATGAGAACTAGTATTAATGTGTGAATTGGTATTTGAAAGGCTATGGGAGTTGAATACATCTGCAGCTGTAAATCCTTTGTTAATATCCATTTTGTTCTTTAGGCAGGCATTTGTAGTGTTGAATAATGGTTTCCATGGTTGTCAAGGTTTTCTTAGCCCAAAATATTACTTTCAATTAGATTGGCTTGCCCCCAAAAGGAATGTATGCTGCAACTGTATTTTATTGTAAAACGACAGATGCTTGATTCTTAAAAAAGAAAAGAAAAAGAAAAACAAAACCTTTCAAATTGTTCACTTAAACTGATTTTATTCTGCAATGGCATTGTAGGAAAAGAGGTGTTTTTATTAATTTCAAAGTTTGTACTGTGGCTTTATTAGGTAATTTTCAAGTCTATTTTGATTTAATATTTGTATAAGTTGCTATATGTTTATTTATTTAAAAGATATCGCCACCCGTCAAGCAACTCTGGATGGCTTACAACAACTGTAAAACCAATAAATAAAGCAATAATTTAAAACAATTTAAAAAAGATAAACAGAACACTCTTTTTGTCCCCCTTGGGATGTCCCTCAGACATTCTGCTTCCATGTCTTCTAACCATACAATCCCAGCCCATAAGTTAAAACTTAGGTCTCAGCAGCCTTCCAAAAGGCTACAAGGGTGGGAATTCTCAAATTGCCAGCAGGAGGTGGTTCCATAAGGTAGGGGCAGCAACAGAAAAGGCACACTTCCAAGATCCTGCTAGATGGCAAGATGGCAAGGAGAGGACTTGGAGCATGCCCACCCTGGAGTAGTAAAACGGGCTGATACTAGTGAAAGGGGGTCCTATAAGTAACAAGGTCCCATGCCATGTAGGGCTTTAAAGATGACCATCACCTTGCACCCGGGAAAAAACTGGAAGCCATGCAGTCAATAAACAACACACACACAGTCTCTGTATCCTTTCCTTTGATTCTATTCACCAGAGTAGCTTTAAGGTATTTTGAAAGGGTTTATTAATAAACAAGCAATAACTTTTCAGCTGCTGAAGGACATATTAATATCACTGCTTGATATGATATAAGTTGTATGGAAAAATAGGACCTTCAGTTTTGGTATGAAAATTCTGTTCCTTGCCTGCTGCATGTTTTATTGCATGCAATAGTGAAAGGCAGACACTGATTTTGGATATCTGTTTGTGATCTAACCAAGAAATAGTGAATCAGTGCAACTGGATCATATTACTTGATAATCATAAATTCAATCCAACTATATGGTATTCCCAAATCAGAAGAAATAGATAACTTAGTATTTCCTCTAAGAGAAATTTTCTCTAACAGAATTTTCTAACAGAAAAAAAGTAAAAAGGTTAGAAACGAACAGGTAGAGGTCGCTTAACAACCTGTTATTCAGCAACCATTTGAAGTTATGATGGCACAGAACAAAAGGCAGTTGTGGCCCAGTCGACAAACTTACAACCTATGCGGGAGAAGCAGTGAGATCCTCGCCTAAGGACTGCAATTGGGATTGCCAGATCAGCCATTGCTAAGCAGTGCGTTCACGTGGTGCTAATGGCGACTCTATTTGGTGATGGAAATTATAGTCCCAATTAGGGTTGTTAAGTGAAGAGAGTAGTTCACTTTAGGGAAGAGTGCTGATAAATTTCTGGAGGACCTGGAAAATGAGAGAAGCGATGACCTTAATGTTTATTATGTGCTGCAAGATGAAAAGGAAAAACTTTGTGAAATTATTAGACCTCGGGAAGCAAAACGAACTGGCACGTATTCAAAAGAAGTTGAGTAAAAAATGAAGGAACAAAAGGCTAAGACAGTGATGGCGAACCTTTTAGAGATCGAGTGCCAAACTGCACCCCAAAGCCCACTTATTTATCGCAAAGTGCCAGGGCTGCATCAGCATTGTGGTGCCCTTAGGAGGGGTGGCCCACTGGGTGGGCGTGGCTGCAGTGGTCACGGCAGACTGGGTGAGAATGGCTGGGGCCAGTTCCTTGCCATCTCCAGGGCATCCCTGGGGGGCCAACGCCGCTTGCTCACTCACTTCCTGCCCTGTCACTTCCAAATGCCATGTGCTCGCTACTCTGGCGAACTCTGCTGGGGCAGTGGCACACGTGCCCACAGAGAGGGCTCTGAGTGCCGCCTCTGGCACGCGTGCCATAGGTTCGCCACCACTGGGCTAAGAGGAATAGACAGGATGAGTTGTAGGAAAGAATTAAAATCCAGAACCTTTGCTTTGGTTTTCATCATGGCCAAAATAATATCATATATTTATACCTTTTTTCTGTCTTTTTTTCTCTTCGCTAGTTGTTTTACTATAGTGCAGTGGTTCTCAACCTGTGGGTCGGGACCCCATTTGGGGTCGATCGACCATTTCATGGGGGTCGCCAAGCAAGGCTGTCCGCCATTTTTTTTGTCTGCCATTTTTTTTGTCCGCCATTTTCCCCCCTTTTCCAGCGGGTGCCTTACCTCCCTTGGGCTGGGCCAGCTGGTGGTCGGCCTGCTTCATCTCTGCCGCTTGCCAGCTACACCTCGGCCGGCGCAGGGGGCGGAACCACGCATGCGCAGCGCTCCCGGGCAGGGAAAGTCCTTGACCTACGACCGGTTGGGTAGTCCTCAACTTACGACCGGTTTAGTCCTCGACTTACGACCGGTTTAGTCCTCGACTTACGACCGGTTGGGGTCGCGGCATTAAAAAGGTTGAGAACCACTGCTATAGTGATACTGACATCAGATAAATTGTACCACTTTTGAAACAAAAACAAAAACAGAAAGTCATGTTTTCATTCATTTCTAAAAAATGGGAGAAAGACTGTTTTAAGCCTTTTAAGTTAATAACCTTTGGTGTTGTTAAATTTTATCTGTACTGCGTGATTGGTTGCACATAATAAGGTAGCAATTCACACATACGAATAGTGTGAGAACTGTGGGTTTAAATTAATGCTTTATTGTTGCAACTGTTGGAATAAACTCTGGAAAGATCATTCCAGACAGAATATGGACAAGTTTAAGGATATCCACACAGGATATGTCTTGGGAGTGTTGTTCCTTTTTTTAGTTCCAAGGCAGACAGTATATTAAACACTGCCCGAAACTCAGTTGTAGCTCTAAATTTATTCAGTCTCATAATACACTGTCTTAATTGCAAGATTCTTACACTGAGCAGGGGGTAGGACTAGATGAGCTCCACTCCTTTCTGACTTTCAAATTCTGTGTTCCTGTGATTTGTGGCTCAGTCAAGCAAAACAGTGCATTAAATCTTCGCTCCTAATATTGTACTCATGGAGACTCACATCCATTTACCTGCACTCCAGTGTGCTTGGGGAGTTCTCAGGCCTGGAATGGCTGGAGTCTGCCAGAAAAGATGAATTTCTTTCACACAGGAAGACTCTGCAAAGTAAAACAAAGCAGACACGAAGTAAATTATTTCTGCTTTTCAAATATCTCTTGTGGTATCCGCTTTACTATTACTTTATCTCAGCACTTCCATCACGGTAAATTTTGGCTAACAGAGAAGGAAGGCAAGAGGAGGTTAGAAAGTCAATGCAGCTTCAGTCTTGAATTTGCACTGTACCACAATTCTATAGGTGGCTTCCTTTTAAAAATTAGTATAATCAGTTATATTGATTATATAGCTCTGAATGCACCTAAAAAGCTCTTGGCTTCAAAATTCATTTTATTTTGATCTGCCACAGTCAAATGCACTCTGTGAAGCTGAATAATATAAAAAGTTGCCTTTTGCCTTCCCCCCTCCCAAATTGCATTCTTTAACCCACTAAAGATGCTGTGCCCTTCCTTCATAATTAATGTGGCCATTTTTAAATTGACAGTTGTCTGACCTATCATCCAAATTTCAATAAACATTACAAGCAGATATTTAATTTTAAAATGAACAGTGTCCTCTCACCCCTTTTAGTGAACATGAATATATTTTGTGTGCCTAAAATAGTTTAGGTACAGAACTACAGTACTACAGCATGTTTTAAAAATGTGACTATTGCCCCTCAAAAACGAGCTTAATTATTTGATCATTTTGCAGAAGATCCAATCTAGTTGGCTTGTCGGGTTGCCTATTTTTCAGGCATTTTTGCAATTAGGAGTTATAGGCAAGTGGCCAATGACGAACCATAAAGCAGGTGATTGCTGTACTATTGTCTGACATTAAAACACAGGTACAAAAGCCAGAGTTAGTTTTATCATGTTGCAGAGCATGGTTCATATTTTTTTTTCCTCATTGCAATTTGTAACAAATGCCCAAGGTAGCATAAAGCTTTGGTCTTGTACATTGGATAGAGTGTAAGAGACTGCCATGTGAATTTTGAATAAATCCTAGGAGATTCCTATGTTTGTTGAAACAATGTCCTAAAATAACTTTGGTGCTAATCTTATATGTATTTTATAAAGTTCTGGGAATCTTAGGGGGGTCCTTCTGCTTTCTTTATTACTATTTCTTGGAAAATAGGAATCTTCTGCTTATAAGTTTCTGTTATAAGGTTTCTGAAAACTTAATCTCTATACACAAGTGCAGGTGACCCTGTATGAAAAATATATGCAGGGAGCAATAAGAAATCAGATAAGTAACTGCCAGTCCTTGTAAAGAATGAGGCACGGTTAACCCAGAGTAGAACAGAAAGCGAAACAGAAGCAATTCTTAAGGCCAACTGGAGAGGAATTCTCTTATTTCCCAATTGAAATACCTTAACAGAAAACAACTACAGAAATTGGGTGTTATCACATGGCACATTTTGGCATATTGGAATAAGTAGGTTTTACTTTTAATATGACTAATGCAGTTCTTTAGCTAATTTTATGGTTATGGCATTGAATTCCAGGATTCCATCATGAAAATCATATTCTTAAGTGCTGCAGCAGTGCTAAGAATGTCCCAACTCCTACAAAATGTTATCTTTAACATTCACTTGAATTTAAAGCCT